CCTCCCTTTCCTTTCCCCCACATACAAACACACGCATACACACATTAGCTTCCAATACACTTTGTCCATCGAGAGAAAAACAAAGTAAGAGGGGTTATAAAGAAGGGTAGGTAGAACAACTCGAATTAGAAAAATGATATAGATCTGTGTGTTTATTTTTCAGACTAAATTTCAATTCATGAAGAGCATAATATGAGAGCGGTTGTTATCCGGAAGTTTACAATCGATGACCCCGTTTCTTGGGGAGATTACGCCCCTTTGCCGCCCTCGACTGCGTCCGTACGTTTACGTGAACGTTCGTAAAGCAAGTACGCGGGCCGTTCCGAAGCTCAGCGCGTGGTGAGAATTCATTGGTCGGCTGTCAGTGTTCAGACCAATCACCATCAGACAGCTGTCTGGGTCACGTGGAATCACACCGGCTTATTTACCTCACTAGGACCACTGTTCCGGGTGTTAGAAGCGGCTGGCCACCATAGGACGACAGAGGGAAGAAAAGCGAAAATGAAAGTTGTTTTACTGTGCGCCCTTTTGGGCATTGCTTTTGCAGACCCAACAGTTTATTTCAAAGAAGAGTTTGGTGGTGAGTATTATGCACCATGCGCTATTATTATGTAAGGGCATTGCTTGATAACTTTTGCATGTTTTGACTGAGGGCGAGGGTGTGGAGTCGCAGCACCACGCCTCTTTTATAGTGAGTTCGAAACATTTCTGCTAGAGATCTCGATAGTACTAAGAATCTATAATCTAAGTGTACCTTTACCCCGTCCCCTTTCCACACCTTTTGTAGATTAATCCATGTCCCTGCATTGCATTATATGAGATTAGACCCTATGTACCGAGATTATTAATTTCATGCCATGTATTTTCATCCATGATTGTATTCTAGATTCTAGATATGTATTGAACTTGACAGAAACAGAAATGCTTCAAATTTGACCTGAATAAAATAAGATTCTAGAATCTAGATCTAGATCTAGATCTAGGCCTATCCTATACTAGATCTAGATCTAGATCTAGATTCTAGATCTATCTATCTAGAATCTAGATCTAGATTCTATACCACAATCAAAAGTATAAGAAGAGCAGCTACAACTGTTCAAGTACCATGCCAAGTTTGTAAAATTGTAACACTAGCCAGTGCTGAGTAGGCCTCTCAGTTACTGTTGTACAACTTTTCCTAGGCCAAGATCTAGAATCTAGATCTAGACTAGATCTAGTCTAGATCTAGATTTAGATCTAGATCTAGATCTAGATATATAGACCTAGAAATCTCTATTGATTCAATGCAACCAGTGGCTCAAAGGCGTTTGTTTCATTTTACAGATGACTGGGCAGAGAGATGGGTTGAGTCCAAGCACAAATCTGACCTTGGTAAATTTGTTCTGACTGCTGGAAAGTTCTATGGTGATGCAGAAAAAGACAAAGGTAGGTAATATTTTTTCTTTTGATGTGCACATTGGTTGAGTCACAAAAAATGTTAATTTTTAAAACTATCATTCACACACACCCATACTCTGCTTTTAGATTCTAGATATCTAGGGGTCAAACAGATTTTTTGGCTCTATCTCTAAGAAAACTTAAATCTTAATTGCAAAACATCAAATTGTCTTAAAGGGAGGCGCAGCATGGCATGCCCTCTGTAGCACCCAGGATTTTTTACCTCAGCCCCCCCCCCCCCCCAGTAACTGGGTTAATTATTTAATATAGTTTGAATAAATAGAAATCCTCAATTTGCAATGGATGTAAAGTCTGTATTCGTGTAAGACAGATACAGTATAATTCGCTTTGGGAAGTGGATTTGATGTCGATAAATGAAATATAACGCCAAAGGGAGGGGGGGAACGAGGGGAGGTCAGCGGTAAAAAGACAATTTTACTTTTTTAAGCTGGTTGCTTCCCTTGATTCTTACACAACTACACCGTGAAACTAACAAGAGACTGAGGGTAGGGGGGGGGGGGTTTGGGTTACGGTACTGAAGACAGAGCGACGCGAGGCGAATACTACACACCAGTGCAAACTTTGTATTGTTGTGGCATCCTTGCAAGGCCTGTTTACGGCCCCCTGCTGCGAAAAATGGAAAGGCGAGGGACTGACTCGCTGACCGAGGCTTTTTGCCAGCGACGGACTGAGATTACTGAGAATGGGATGGGGAAGAGTAATGAGCGATCTGGAGTGGGGGTAAGGAGGTGATGCCCAGCGCGCAGGACACTCGCATCTGTGGTACTGTGTTGGAGACTACATTGTGTAGGCCCTACATGACCTACTAAACCCTGGTGTGTCGAATCTAAGGCTGCTTGGCGGATGTGCAGACTTAATGAACTAATGCGTTGACCGTTAGTGTGGCTTTTCCCCCCATTTATGTAAGTGGGCTTCGCCAGGTACCCAGGAAGCATGTTGTTAAAGCAAAATGGGCCAGGAAAAAAGTCTATATGAGGAATTATTAAGTGAAAATATTAAAGGGAAAAATTTCGTAATTGGAAAATATGTCAATATAATATGTCAAAATGTCGATACATTGGCTGTCAATTAAAGTGGATTATACTGTACAAGTTGACAAGAAAAGTGCTATAAAATACCTTAGCATGAGACGGGAGTAAAAGTTTAAAATAATACCTGAAATATCCTCTATAAAATAAATGTAGAATTGAAATTGAAGAAAATCAAATGTAATTCGTGTTGAGTTGGAGTGGAGGAATGGGTACAAATTTTACAATATTATTAAAGCAAGGCACCTCCCTACATACACGATTCATTTTACTCAGAACTGCATTGTTGTAGCCTGAGAGAAATGCTCATGCCGTTATATTTAACCATTTAGAACTGTCCCGCTCCTAGTTTTTTTAATATTTGAAATTCAACAATTTTATACTGTGAAGAGGCACCCCCACTGATCAAGAATGAAGCCCCTGCCCATGATACTCATAGTTCTACTGTGTAAGGGTTGTTGTTGTATTGAAGTTGTAAGAACTTACATTGTCAAAGAAACTCAGTAACCCTACATCTCACGATCAAGGTTGGATTCTTTGCACTTGAATCCTGGAAATTGAAAGTATAGGTAAACTAAATTTTATGCATCGTTACCGTACTAGTTTAGTCATGGATCTATATTTGGGAAAATTGCTCCATGTGCATATTTATATATACACAAAGTAACAAAGTAGGCAGTGGATGCAATGGAAATATTTTTATGGACTTAGTTATTACACATTTCCTGACAGTTAGGTCAAAGGTGAAATGGAAGTTCAACTGAGCCTTTCGTTTTGTTTTCAGGTATTCAAACTTCTCAAGATGCCCGCTTCTATGGACTTTCTGCCAAATTCGATAAGTTCAGCAACGAGGGCAAGACACTTGTTATCCAGTTCACAGTGAAGCATGAACAGAACATTGACTGCGGTGGTGGCTATGTCAAAGTTTTCTCCAGCGACCTTGACCAGTCTGATATGCACGGAGAGAGCCCATACAACATTATGTTCGGTATGTGTATATTTTACTAAGTAGTCTTAACTGGTGTTGGTATACATGACTGTTCTGCTGGTCTTGTTTTTATAATAGTTTCTGATGGATTTATGGTGGAAGTAGGAGTAAAATGATTTGTTCAAAGTTTTTAATGCTGTGTGTGGTATTTCAACAAGTTGTTTCCTGTTACAAATAAGTCGGTTCCACTTTGGGAATTCTCACCTTTTGTCTGGCAAACTAACCATATTCTACTATCATGCATGTTAATCTTTGATTCAAAATGGGCAGCCTTTTGTTTTAAATTCCAGGAAGGCATGCATATATGTCTAACTGTCAATCACTGGCTGTCACAGTAAATTTTGTCACGATCACTCCCTGCTTTTTGCTTGGGGTGCGCACGGCAAAAACATTTTTCATGAAGTATTCTTTGTACATATTATGTCAATTCAAAATTTGACAGAAATTTGTTGGGTTTTTTAAAAAAATCAAAGCTAATAAAACATCTGATTTTAAACAGGCCCTGACATCTGTGGACCCGGAACCAAGAAAGTTCACGTCATCTTCAACTACAAGGGAAAAAATCTTCTAGTTAAGAAAGACATCAGATGTAAAGATGATGTGTTCTCCCATTTGTACACTCTGATTGTCCGCCCAGACAACACCTATGAAGTGAAGATTGATAACGAGAAGGCCGAAAGTGGAGACCTTGAGGCTGACTGGGACTTCCTCCCAGCCAAGACGATCCCTGTAAGTGGAATTTTTTAAAAGAATAATAATACATTCTCTTAGTGGTGTCTTGTTGTACGGTATGGTATCAGCCTATTGAGTCTGGTATGGAAAATACTAGTTCTCAAGGGCATCCAAAATGTCAGTCAATTTTTTTCCTCTAACCCATTTTGATTTGTAGTAACCTAAGCAAAGCATGAAAGGTTTTCAGTTTTCATTAAAGTGTGCATCGGAGCATTTTCCTTTGATCAGTTTTTTTTCCCACAGTTCTTTTTGTCTGGATTATTTAAACATATTCGTCCTTTCCTATTCCCAAATTTTGTGTAATCCTTGATTCTTTATACAGGTAGCTCGGAAATTAGTGTAATAAATCCAACCTTGCGATTGCACTACCCCAGAAATACAAGTTCTATCTGCTCAATACCTAGTTTTGAGAAATATGTTTTAAAAATTTAGTTTCTCAATATTTCAAGATTGTTTGAATATAATTCTTTTGAATATCCGGATAACAATTAACAGCTCTGAATATTCTTACAATTTTGATAGAGAGCGTTTGCTTTCTGACCCCATTGTCTTTTTAACTCTAAAGGGTCAGATAGAACTTTTTAATTTGGAGGTAGCGATTCTATTAGATGTAAAGACAAATCAGAGTTAATTTAAAATTAACCTATTAACTTGATTGCTTGTCCTCATGCCCATCAATTATTGAAATCTTATGAGGTTTTTGCTTGTTTCTTTACAGGATCCTGATGCCAAGAAACCTGATGACTGGGACGAGAGGGAGAAGATCGATGACCCTGATGACACCAAGCCCGAGGACTGGGACAAGCCTGAGCACATCCCCGACCCTGAGGCCAAGAAGCCTGATGACTGGGACGATGAGATGGATGGTGAATGGGAGCCTCCCATGATTGACAACCCAGAGTACAAGGTAGGTAGAAATAAAATTAAAGGGCTTTGAAAAAAATTTGTGACTTGTCTTTTATTTTTTGCTTAACCTGAAATTTCTTGGCAGTTACTCTCTTTTCGATAATGAAACTTCTTTCCTTGATTTCTGAGAGGTGTTGCAGCTGTTTTTAGTTATCAAGACTGTCACGGTCAATGTGTTTGTCCTGCATTTTTGCAACCGTGGTATGTGTATTTCAGTAGGTATGTAGGCTTTCTGGGGGGGGGGGGGTTGTTTTTTTGTTTTGTTTTTATCTCTGCCAAATGCGAAATGTCAGTAGTGCAGTAAGTGAAAGATAAAGGCCTACCCAATCAAATGAAATCAATCAGAATGTTGGTGTTATCATGCTTTGCTTCAAGTAAACAAACAAAATCTGCATTCAGAAGTTGCTTTGCAAGGAATTGTGGAGTGGATGTGTGTTAAGTTGTGTGTGTACATTGATCAAATTTTAAAAATTTTATTTTAAATTTCAGGGTGAGTGGAAACCCAAGCAGGTTGACAACCCAGACTACAAGGGCAAGTGGGTTCACCCCGAAATCGACAACCCAGAATATGAGGCTGATGATAAGCTGTACAGTTTTGCTGACTTTGGTGCTATTGGCTTTGATCTGTGGCAGGTATGTACGAGTTTGTTCTTTCTTTCTTTCCGTCTGTCTTTCTTTCTTTCTTCATTCCATCCTTGCGCAGCACAATAGCACAATGAAACCGTGTTTACACCCTACAGACACATAGGACTGGGCGAGCAAACTGTTTGGGGGGGTTGACTGAAATTTCTTTTGATGGGTAACTGGAAATGCGTCTGAGTTTCTCACCGGTGTTTAGTGGACTGTAATGTTTTGTTAGGCCAATGGCTATGATGCATGATTGCTAGATAAGCGTATTGGTTTATCATTATCAAGTTTCATTAAAGAATATAAACCAATGTGCAAAAGTTTTTAAAATGCACAGAAAATTGAGGTAGCCAACCTGGTTCTGGTACTAATACTGAAGGTAATTTGGCATTTACAAAAAACAGTTTATTTCAGATATCTAGATTCTAGATATATGCTTCACATGATTGTCGGTCGTGGCAAGCTGGAAAATAATAAACGAGGGGTATGGAATAAGGAGCGGGAAGGGCGCTTATTCGATACCTTAAGAGTACTAGCTCAACGATTCACTCTTAAATTTAGACAAATCAATCAGAATGTCTTGTCATCCATGCATTTACTGAGTTAAAATAGATGACAGGTAGTTCAGAGTGGTTGCTTTGAAAACCACATGATCGCGCTGTCCCATGACTATCAAGTTTCCCCTTATGTTTCGAAGTAGTGCACATCATTGTAGTAAGTTGGTCTTTCTGCTTTTTTACACCATTCATTCGACTCAGTAGATGGAACTGAAATTGGGGAATGTTTTAACAAAGTGACCCCTACCGTGGTCAACCGTAAACATGAAAATATCAAGGAAATGAGATTGTTGCATCTTTCCTTGCCCCTTCCTTTTTGCACGGGTTACGTAAATGCACACTTAGCTCTGCGGAGCACCATGCGTCCAGGTGTAGACTACTGTACAAATTTAGCATTGGTTTGTTGTACGTAAATTTGTATTTTCATGGATGTTTCTGAGGTCTAATCTTGTCTGAGAGAAAAAATTTGATTGCTGATATTGGAGTGGATGGGTGGGCCACCTTTTGTGTAGGCCCCTATCATGATACTTTTTTGCGCATACGTACGGATGTATATGGATTAAAAATGTTATTTCCATAGCACACTGCCTTCTCTATTCAGACTGAAGAAAAAACAAATAGCTTTAAAAGGTTATCATTTAATCATGGAATTATTTGCATATCATGTATGTAATTTACAGCAAATGTTAAAGCACAATAATGATGTCTCCATAAAGATGTCAAGTTCCCAGGTCTGTAGGTTATGTGAAGATGTTTATGAGCCAGATTTGAGCACAAACATTTGGGTCAGCAAGTGCAATAAGGATGAATATTATTTTTTTCCCAGGTGAAGGCTGGTACTATCTTTGACAACGTGCTCATCACAGACTCTGTCGAATACGCCGAAGAATTTGGAAATGAAACTTGGGGCAAAACAAAAGACCCTGAGAAAAAGATGAAAGACGCTCAGGATGAGGAGGACAGGAAGGCAAGAGAAGAGGAAGAAAAGAAGAGGAAAGAGGAGGAAGATGCAAACAAAGATGATGAGGAGGAGGAAGCTGAGGAAGAAGAGGAGGAAGAAGATGATGATGCTGCACCAGAGAAAGACGAGTTATAGAGGGTGATGCTAGGATCAGTTCATTTCATCTTATCATTCTCATTGGGGTTCATTTTTTTTAGTCAATATTGTTGTGAAGTTCTTTAATGGCCAAGAGAAAAAATCCCAGTTGTGTCCCCCCTCAACCATCTTACAAGCGTTTTACTCTGCTGTGTTACTCCTATTCTGTCTACCCTCTCTTCTCCTGAAATCAAAAGTTGGAGCGTAGAAAAATTGTCATTCTTCCATCCCGAGTGAGCTTGTAGTACGCGAGGTTCATCCGTCATTTTTCCATGGTGTGGCAGTGTTTTTCTCATTAGGGTTCATTCTGTTGAAACAATTGTTTGGGTAGTTAAGGGTGTATATTTAGCTGAGATGACGGCTAACAGTTAACGGGGAGACATCCCATTCTGTTATTTTATTTTTGTTCTTGTCCACTTGCGAGGTGTGCATGTTTTGAATGATGAATGCCGAGAAATATGAAAGTGTATGAGAATGAGAGGAAAAGATGTGGTTAAAGTGGGGCTCGTGAAAAAGACAAATGTGATTACCAGATAATTTATTTGGTATTAATAAAGTTTTTAAAAGTTTTTGTTGAGTTTGATTTTTGTCTTTTAGAAAAGTGGCATTTTTTTATAGTTTAGATGATGTATTCTAGGATACAAATCTTGTCTACAGGTTGACTATTAAATTTATGGCCCTTCAACATTTGTCCAGGAATGCCAAGAACTGTGGTTCACTAGTTGTAAGACTAATGCACCAAGTGATGTGCATGATAGGATATTGGCAGTATTCCTGTGTAGGTCCCTAAGTACTTGATTTGGAATTTCTTTTGAAACAAAGGCACCCGTCTTGAATTTTGGTTGCGGAGACACTACTGACTAAAGGCCTGCCTTTACTAAAACATGATCTCTTGGTGAATCAGATGGACAATGGCGTTGGGTTAGGTTTTCAAAGCTACCCAGCCTCATCTTTATCAGAAATATGATGGGCATGTTATTATATTTGGAAGACCTGCCTCCTGAAACCAAAGTTCTTACAGCCCCTTGAATTGTGCAAATGAGTGTTAAGTGTAATGGGGGAAGACCTGTGTCGTCAATGCGCTAGCAAAATGGCACATCTCATTTTTGCTACTTTTTAGATGGTGCAAAAAACTTGAACAAGACTACATGTACCTATCATCTAATAATGGTAAAATTTGTCTTTTGTGACTTCCAGCACATTTGTTTTAATCTAATCGAAAGATGGAGATAATATAGTACCACTACCACCAAACAAAATAAAAGCTAGATGCATTTTGGCACAACACTGAGCTACGCCATATTGTTAGTGCTGTGAGGATATGTATACGGACAAAGGCTAGCCTGTGGCCGGTTGTTTATGACTGGTTTGCTGTGACAAACTGAATGACAGTGAATGCGGTACATTGGAATCGCACAAGCATACAGACAAATGTTGGCATAGTGGTGGGGGGGGGGGTGATATTGTATAAAATTTATCATATTTTACGTCCGTTGTAATCAGAGGCAGAACCTCTGGTCTGAATTAAACATCCAGTCGTGGGTGGTTGGTGGGTGCTCTTGTGTGGTTTGCTCCTTCTTTCCTAACATCTATCGTCCTCTCCTTTTTTGTCTTTATTACTCTCTTGTAACACCTAATCTTCGGCACTTAATGACCTTATTGTGTTGCACGTGTCGTAAAAAAAACTCTTACTAAAACCAAAAGCACAACGTCCAGTCTCTGACTGACAGTGATAGGATGCAGCCTAAAAAGGAAATTAAGTGTATTAGCGTAGTGCTTTTTTCATGGACACAATGTTGGACTGAACTGAGCCTCAAAATCGGACCCACAATCAAGTCCAGTTGTCTAACTCTAACCACGAGACAACAGGCACCATGCATAGGACATGGGAATCTCCTCACCGACATCTCAAAAATTGTATCACAAGTGACAATCCATGGTAGTCTAAAAAAGCAAATTCTTTCAAATTCAATTCTTTAAAAGAATTTGTATTCTACTGTAGTCAAGGCAATACATCGCAACATCAGTGATTAACTGATTTCTTGTCATATCTCCAGTTTTAATAGTGAAAATGTGACTTCTTCTTACGCTTACTCTGTGTTATGAACTGTTTTCACGGTTACTGTTATTAAAAATAGTATAAAAGAAAGCTCTGAGGTCGCGACATGCACCAGACTTAGTTTATTTGTATAAACAGTTCTATCTACTTTGTTTCTACAATAAATAACAAGTGTGAGAAAGCACGAACGGGAATGAAAAGTTGGGGAAAAGACAGAGAGAGAGAAGAGAAGAAGAGAGAAAGAAACCCATTGTCTTGAGATTCGGAGAGGGAGAGAATGTCATTCTCACTGGAAAACTAAACTACATTTCAAGTACCGGTAACAATGAATAGAATTGTACTTGTTCTAGCATCTGCGTTTGTTCTCATTTTTTAGTCCAAAAAGTGTCAAAAGTTGCCAAGAGAGACAGAGTCATACACACACACACAGAGAGACACACACACACACACACACACACACACACACACACACACAAGCACAGAGAGATAGAGGGAAACAGAGAGTCTCTCTCTCTCTCTCTCTCTCTCTCTCTCACACACACACACACACACACACACACACACACAGAGAGAGAGAACGATAGAGAGAGAGAGAAAAGAGAGGGACACAAAGAGATAGAAAGGGAGACAGATAGACATAGTCACACACACAGAGAGAGAGAGAGAGAGAGAGAGGGGGGGGGGCGGGGACCGAGAGAGAGAAAGAGACATAGACTCTATTTTGTTGCCATATGTTGTGAACCTGATTGACTTTCACCTTTAGCTGTGTGCAGCAATTATTATTGTTCAAATTTACAGACTTCAACTTCAACATAAGTTGAGGCCACCTTGACAGACACCAAATATTTTCACTTGTTAGGAAATTTTGAATTTTTTCCCAGGTGGCGGCCGAAGTCCACTCTTATCAGTTTTGGACCACCAAGGGTTCTTTTTAACGTGCACAACTTGCCCACGGGATCTCCAATATTTTTTGCACTTGTCCGAGAAGGCTATGTGTAGACCTTTTCTACCAGAAGATCAGGAGTGTGACTGAAAGACAGCAGTAAGAGGGAGGCACGGAGAAGCAGAAGAAAGGCTGCAGAAAGAGTCAGAAGCCCACAGAAGGGAGATGAGGGGGTGGGGGTAGAAAGTGGAGACGAAAGCAGACGACAGCTCATTGCTAGAGAGCAGGAAAGGAGGTGAAAAGAGAATTTTAAAGAAGAAAATGTTTCTGTCACTTTCCGGATTCGAACCCGGGACCTTTGAATGAGAGGCGAACACCTTCAGTCAGTCCTCTTAACTTATAAACTAGTCAACAAAAGTTAAGGAACGTACTGTAAAAACAGTGATATGTTTGTATGCATTCTTTCGAAGTTTTACTTTTACTCGTAAAACTAGATATTGGTGAAATGTTACTCTATGACTAATGGGCTTGTACACACCAGGGTTTGAAGTGCACGTGACTCCTGTGCGATGAGCTGGGGAGGGGGCAAAAAGGTCCAATGTTTTCCAATTAACGATTTTTATTCTCTAGCTCTTGCCGTCAGAAAAAATTATGAACGCTCAAAAATCAGTTTTCAATTGCAAGATTTATGTCTCGTGAGTGACTTGCACTCGCTCATTTGCACTGTGGATACACCATTCTGCTGCTGTAGGTCTAAGCATAAACATGCCTCCTCGACAGAAATTGTCTGATGTAAACAGAGGACGAG